GTCGGTGTCTCCAAGTTTAACTGTGACAAAAATGTTCTTGTGCTATATAATTTATGTAGGTTCCCATGACTGCTCTGTGACATCAGTTGTTTATGCTGGAAAAAGACATGAGGAACGTGACTACTTATGAGAGAGATGTAGTAGTCAAAGTATACAAATCGAGCAAGGCAACCCTTCCAGGCACATTTTCCTAGCGTGTGTTAGAGCACACATTACTGTTCTTTCAATAGGCAATTACAGCAATGAATTCTGCACATTTCTATTTCACAAACTGTGGTCTTTCCCTTGACAATGCATAGTATGTGTGGATTTCTGCACAGTAGGATTAGGCCAATTCGATGCTGGAGTAGATTGTACCTCTTGGGAAATATGAGTAAAATGATCTACTCATTTTAAGAATGATAAACTGAAAGATTAGGTATATTACAGATTAGTGTATTCAAACAGGACCCTAAGAGACATCCATCCATCCATCCATCGTCTAAACCGCTTATCCTTCTGGGTCGCGGTGGGGTGCTGGAGCCTATCCCAGCTGTCATTGGGCAGAAGGCAGGACACACCCTGGACAGGTTGCCAGTCCATCGCAGGGCAGACAGACACATTCACACCTAGGGGCAATTTTAGCATGTCCAATCAGCCTGACTGCATGTCTTTGGACTGTGGGAGGAAACCCACGCAGACAACATGCAAACTCCACACAGAAACAACCCTGGCCGCCCGGCCGGGAATCGAACCCAGGCTATTCTTGCTGTGAGGCGACAACACTACCCACTGCGCCACCGTGCCGCCCCCTAAGAGACATCCTACCTGCTTATTGACACATAATAGATTTAAAAAATACATACTTGGGGCCCTTGATGACTTGAGAAGTGACTGCATGTAGCTTATAGCTAGAAACAACCCTGTATTCAAATGTGATCCATTAGATGAAGCTGGATGCTGTACCTCAAAGCAATGACAGAACATGACGGAAGAAGACAGGACACATCAAAGGATGCGTGCATGCAGCAATGAATCATGAGTGTTAATGCCGGCTTCCTCAGCCCTGCAGCTAAACCAAAAGGGTAACCCTGTTACAACTTATCTGGATGCTACAACACTGGCCTTGGCAAATATACCCAAATACATATATACAAAAGTAGCTATTCTAAGGTGCACCCACTGCTGACACAGGCAATAAACTGTGTATAATCTTTTTGGAAAAGCATTGCCAATAGAATGGGATGCTCTGGAGTAGCCACACATGAGCCTAAGGCCCAGTGTCAAGCGTCGACTAGTGGGATATAAAATCGCTCCAGCATTGGGCTGTGGAGCAGTGAAACTGTGTTCTCTGGTGATGGAGCACCATTGAATACCTTTGGGATGAGCTGGAGCGACATTTGTGATCCAGAACTAATTATCCAACATCAGAACCTGACCTCACTAATGCGCTTGTGGCTGAATGCAATCAAATCCTAACCGCAATGTTACATCTAGTGTGAAGCCTTCCCAGAAGAATATTTACAGTTTATCCAACATTTTGAAAAATGTATGATTCTATCTGATAAAAGTCTACAACAAAACAATGACTGCATATGGGTGCGCTTATTAATGCAGCTTCAGATCTACCAGCTGGTATAGACAAGCAAAAATACACCTACATTCACTGACAGTTAAGCATTTTTCCTTTTCTTTTCTTTTTTTTAAGAAGGGAAGCTCTAAATTAACACCAAGGCCTCATTTCCAGCAAGGCCCTGCAGCAGCTTCAACAGTCAGTGCATAAAACAATAATGACAAGCAGTCATAAAAAACATCTTTAAACCTCTGACAGATGGCCACTTAAAGGAAGCAGAGGCTCCAAAATCTTAGTGGCATTCTTCACTGCGTCGCAGTAAAGAATAAGGGATCTTTTCTTTTGTTCAATTTTTATTTTTCTGTATTTTTTTTGAGCATGATGATGGACAGACCAATAGAAAAATTGCTTAGAATAAAATTTCTTTATATTAACTTGCACTAAAATAAAGAATGTGTTTGTCTTCTCCTGTAAAGTTACTGTTTTTTGGACAGAGATGATTTGCTTTTACATGTACAATTTTCATTTTTGCTCTATTCTATTATGAAATGCTATCATTACTCAACTGCTTCTGCAGAAATGTTGCTCAGGGTAGCCCAAGTTCAAGGGTGTGTTCAGCGAGCAAACACGCATCTTCACAAGAGGGTTTGAGTCATGTGAAGGATGGTATTTGAGGGCTTATGTGGGAGAATAGGTAAATGACACAGTAAGAGCTCATCATAGAGGTACTGTCACTGTGGTTAGGGAATTTCCTCTGTAATTACCTCTGCAATCTCTCTGCACCTGGAGACGACGCTTAGCAAACCGGCTACCTTACTCCAACCACTGGAATGTAAACAGGGGACCATTGAAAGCTTCCTCTAAAAAGGAGTTGCAATAGTACAAAATGGTTGAATAACCTGACCAAAGCTCATCCGACTCATTCTAGTGTTGAGGTGCAATCAACAGCTGGCTTTGCACGTCAAATCCTACGACATTTCTGGGGTCCGCCAGTAGGCCGCACTGCAAAACAGGTTTATTCTCAGCACCCTCTGTAATTACACATACAGCAAAAAGCAGTTATGCATTTGTGAATGACGGGACCAATTATCACATAATGTAATGGAACTACAAGTTCTACAAGGTCAATGGACCTGAAGCAATCTCCACTACTCAAAGCACAGCTGTGCACGAGCCTGTGCTTCGCCCGAGTGAAGTAAGGCAGGAGCTTTTGCAACAGTGCCCTGTAATGTAGAATGAGAGAGGAGTTTCCACACTCACTGGCTCATGCGAAGTTTATACACTTAAGCAATGAAAACAAACAATTAAACTAGCAAGGGTCTAATACCCTCACAGGCAAGAAGCCATTTTCTGCTGCTGGCTTTGTGTGCTGCACTCCAAGTCGAACGTTTGCATGCGTATAAATTAACTTGTTGCCTCCTGAAGTAAATAAAAATACCAACATTTGGCCACTGCCTCTGCAGCGCAGCAATTTTGGGCCTATGATTTCCTTGCACTGTGGTCAGGCCCCTATGGTGCAAATGCAGTCCAGATGAGATCCTGGTTCATGGTTATGAGCTAAATGAGAGGCTTCAGGACAAATTCCCTCCATCAAACTCCTGCGCCCAAAATCAAGCCCTGCTGGAGCTCCAGCAAGGCCAGTGGTCTCTGCATATGTGCAACCTTGGGTCACATGGCAGATGGACGGAGAGGAAAAGGTGGAGGAGGAGAAAAGGAAGGGAGAGGAGACAATGTTATACATTCTTAAAGATGCAAGAAAGGTTCTTTGGAGAGATGCCATAGATGAACCTCAAGAACCTTTCAGTGGATGCTACTTTGAAAAACTGCTTTTGAGTGAGACTGAAGATCTTTTTTAAAAATGAACTGACCTCCACACAAGGTAAAATCCACTGATTTTTCCTGATTTTTAAATATTTCAATTGTGTAAGAGTTTTTTTATGTGAACAATTTCATTTTAGAAAAAACTGACCAGCTCCCAAGAATTCTTTCCATTGGTGCTGATAGGAACTGGGGGTCACAGCATCAACAGTGCAAGTATAGCCATTTAATTTACTATCCAAAGCGACCAGTAGACCTACAAGTATCTTCTAAGTCTTAAATGTAATGCTACTTATGGTAAAATAGCAGTAAAGCAGAAAAAAAAGTCTTAGCTTGGACTATTTTGTCTTTTGGTACTCTGCATGCACCACTCTGCCATGAATGTGTTTTTAAATAATCCATTAAAGGCCAAAAAACCTTATCACTAAATAATGTCTCAGGCATCAGGCAACATATTCGGAACCATTTAATGCAACCAACTTCCTGTGAGATAACTTTCAGAGGCACTGAACACTTCAGGCGTCTGGTTCCTATAACTTCTTGAAGAATTATGACTTGGTAAGTTTCTCTCGAATGGAGCATTTCACATCAGACCACTCTGTTTCCAATTGAACGAGTTAATTATGCAGACATTTTGGAAAATCCCCTTTGAAGTGTAGCAGGAGGGCAATTATAGAAGTTCAATAAGCACTGCATACACTGAGTCAAACATTTTATAGTTCTACAGAAGGTGTCAGTACATATCCACAAAGGTAGGAAGCTCATAGTGAGTAGCCTAAAGCACCTAATGATGGACAGAAGCTTGCTACAATATAGCTACAGTAAAGCTATAGGAAATTACTTTTTAGATTTGGTGAACAATGAATGACACAAATCAATGTAAAGTTACATTGAAATATTTTTGTTTTCCAAATTCAGGTCAAGGCAATAACATTGCATGAGAAGCAGACAGTTCCCACTGAACTTGGCTTGGGCCCAAATAGAAGCAGATGATTATCTGTTGTGCCATCAGACCGGAGGAGTGCTCTTTGAGCAGCAGTTGGGAAGTTCCTGTGTTCTTATCTCAACCATTAACATAGTCTCAACACAAATTATGAACCATAAAGATGGCCATCTTCACCACCCTATCTCTGGAATGTCACAGGCATTCAAAGCATTATTATAACAGTAAGGGCAGAATCAAACTCTTTACAGCACATACTGATCCTTCAATTACGTCACTACCACCACATCACATTCTAGAAGTTTCAGACTGGGCTGGTGAGCCCAGCACTTCTTAGCAGAAGCTATGTGTACACTGGGGGTTCTCCAGCAAGCACCTTGATAGGCAGCGTGTGTCAGTTCCTCAACATCTGTAAACCATACATGCTGATTTGAAAGCAGAAGGAGTGTCCATGTGCTGCGCGCCATACCACGGCTATCAGAAACCAAACTGTTACTGACCTCCTAATGAACTTTGAACATCTTTCCTCAAACACTCGTATGTCAGGACGTTTTACCAGCCGAGAAGAGCATGTTCCATTTTAACGAAAGCTGTAAATGAGATAAAAAGAGGACTTCCCACAGACTTGGTTTTATGATGCATGAAGAAGTGGAGCTGTAACTCTTCTGATGTTGAAGCTAGCTGAAACCTTATAAAGGTTTTGTTCTGTTACCTTTCACATTATTATTTTAGTGTCAAAGGGAAGAGTTTTTCCATACACCGGCTCGGCCATTTACGGTGCCTGGTTAACCATGAGGAAAACTGGAGTCAGTGGAGTAAATAGCATAACTAAACCCATCTATCTTTAGTGTACTATCTGCAGAAATAAAAACATTCCAGTACATATTTTTTGCCAACCCTTTCTGCTGTCGAGCACCAATAAATCTTGTTAAAGACTCCTAGAGAAGAGCTGTTTATTACTTTCTTTTACATCTTTTGACATTTGAGTTCAAGTAAATGATCACTGGGAGGTGTACCCGGTCTTCTTGACCTCCAAGTGAGGAAAAAACAAAACAAAACAGATTTTCCAAACGGTTAAATGCTATTGTATTTATGTCTAGCAGCATGGGAATTGCATTCTGTACGCTTTTCGACAAGTAAGTGACAAGGAACCTCATTTCTTCAACAGTGTCTTGACAGTGTCAAGGCATTACAATGGCGCTTACGCCAACTTGTGAACAACACAGATATGGGTAAAGAGACTGGATGAGGCACACTTCACTGTAAAGGGTAATGAAGTATAAACCAAAACATCAGGATGAAGAGAACACAGCAACTGTCTGTAAGGCTATAGGTAGATTTTATAGGCTCATACTGTGGATTTCACGCACACCAACAAAAGTTCCTGAGCATTCAGTGTCAACTACCTGTCACATTGCTTCTAGATAAGTGCATTCACATTCACCACTGCTTCTTACTGCAAGCAAGGCCCAAATGATGTACATGGATTGCTGTACTAAATGCATTCAGTGCTCCATATGACACGACAGTTGGTGCAGACAGGACTGAAATTGCATCATACCTCCAATATCTAAACTTTAGGGCTTCTTTAGGAGACTTTCTGCTCTAGCAATTAAAGGATACACATAAACCCATCTATGATGCGCTCTGATGTTTTTACAAATCTATATATTGTTTTCTTTGATTACACATAAATAGAGATAAACTATTCACTAAAAGTGGTTATGATAGAAATAAATACAAAATCTGAGCAGTATACTTCATGTGCGGAATAGAAATGTAGAAAATTGAAATGTACATCAGAAAAATACATTAGTTGAACTCCAATTAAAATATTTATTTTCCCATTAGTGGACATAAATATAGCTTTATATACTTTTTTTTTCCAAAATATGTGTTTTAGCATAAATAAAAGTGTAGTACTGGAACATAAAGTGTCTTTGCAAGAGTCAATGCTAAGGTCCATCAGCGGCACCCACAGCCTTCCACCACCATGTCCTGATAGTTTTTCAGGATCACTCGCTCATACTCGTCCAAGTAGAGCAGGGACACGGGGCTCAGGTCTGTGGGCACGCAGCAGGCCTTGGGAATATTGCTGTTCACCGAGTTGACCAGCGTCTGTACTATAGCGTGGTTGGTGGAGTTGAGGTGGTCCGCCAGAGGAAAAGGGCACTCTCCTTGGCAGTAAAAGGCATGGTAACCTGGAGGGGCCACTATCCAGTCGTTCCAGCCCACATCACTGAAGTCCACGTAGAGGGAGTGCCTCCTGCAGTTCGCTTTGTGCTTCTTCTTGGGCTTGCTGATCCGCGCTTGCCGTTTCTGCCGAGTGTGGAGCACGTGTCCTTTGCCGTCGTGGCTATATGTCACCAGCAGCGGCCTCATCTGCGGCCACGAGTCCTCGCTGTTATGCAGCGATCTGCTGACTCGGACATGTTTCTTGTAGTCCCCGTCCACACTGCTTGGGTGAACCACCTCCACCACAAAGCCGTGGTTGGCGTGGCCCTCCGCGGTCCACCGCAAGAGGGCCGGACTTACGTCAAAGCTCTCCCACTTGCTCAGGCTGTGCTGAACCAGCCTGGTGTCTAGGAGTCTCGTGATGGGCTCTTTAAAAGGAAGCCCAGGCTTCATGATCTCATGGATGTTAATGCGGTGGTACCCCAAGCTGCTGTTGTTGCTGCTGTTGCTGGCGGGCGTCATGACCTGCTCCCTGTAAATCCTCAGCTCGGCTGATGTGACAAACTCCTCTCTGGGGATGGAGCTCAGATTAAAGAAGAACCTTTGAGTCGTCTTGGCGCTGTGACTTGACAGCTCCTCTGTAGATTCTGAAAGAGATGAAAATACACTTAGATTACACCCCTATACCCAGAGAAGCATGATACCTACTTGTTTGCGGTTGAGTTTTGCCTGTATTGGTGGTCTGACTGAAATAAAACAAGGCTATTCTGAAGTTAGCTTTATGTAAACTGAGTGGTTCATGTAATGCACTGAATCACAGGGTCTTTGAACCCTTGCCAGCTGCAATACATTCCAAACCGTGTTTACAGTTACTGAGAAAGTGTGACCTCTTGCTGGTGACACTGTGTTCATTAGGACCCAGATGAGCCTAAATTCGAAAAGTTTTCAGGCTGATAAATGTTAATGTTGTCCATACTCACTTTTCCAAATTACCATCTCAAAACTTTTATTCAAAAGATGTTTTCTTTAATTCAAAAGCCTAAAGCAACTATACTGATGAGCTGCTAGCTAATAAAGGTTAGCTAGAACAACAAGCGTGCCTATTTGATAAATGATTAGAAGCAGAACGGTTCTGTTTGTGGCTGCATGTAGGAATTTGCTGTCCATGTAACTGCACTGTTGGCGTTGGTGGCTACACCTGTTACTTATTTTCATGAGGACACTGCCATTGCACAAACATCTCCATAAACGTCTCAATAAGAGCCCGCGTGATAAATTTCCCAGTACCCAATTCCAAAGAGAGAACTTCTGTTAGTTCTAAACGTCTATTAGTTGCAGCAGAAGGCTTACCATCATGGTGGAAGCTCCTTATGGTATTAGCGCGGCTGGCAGACTTCTCAGACTCCCTCCCGAGAGAGCGCTTGCCTGCGCCGTGCTTGGGCTCCGCGTTGGCCGAGTACGCCGCGAACAGGTCCAGCATGTAGCGCGGCACCACGGCGGACCTGCTCGGGCTGGGCCTCTGCTTGAGCCCGAACAGGCTCAGGAGTCGTGCTTCGAAGGTGCTGAGGGTGTCCTGGGACAGCGGCGTCGCGTACTTTCTGCGGCCCTGCTCGGGGACGAGCCCCGCGGAGCCTCCGAGGCGCGCGTGAGCGAGCAGCAGCAGCAGCAGGGGCAGCGCGCGCAGCGCGGCGGAGCGCATGGTCACCCACCGGCCGCCCGCCTGGACGAGACCCTGGCCGATCCTCTATCACACGGCCACTGGCCAACGCGCGCTTCCACGTCCCCGGTTCCACTCTGCCATGTTTGTCACTGTCTGTCCCCCCTTTTTTCCCCCCCCAAAAGGCGTCTAAAGATGAAGCGTCCGCCGATCAGTCATGCCTGAGCTCCGCTTCTGCTGGAAGTTCTAAAGCAAACGTGAAGAAGGCGAACGAGGAGAAGCGCGAGCCTGTCATAGTCTCTTCACTTAAAGGGAGTAAAGGGAGAAGCGCGACTAAACGCCTCAAAGACGTCAAAGAACTAGCTGAGCACCTTTCTGTCCATCAGTGAAAGGAAAACAGGGTCTCCACTGAAACATCCATCCACATGAAGGAGGAGGGCGAGCTGGGCTTCCGCGAGAAACAGTCTCAAACTAGAAGAAGTCGAGCTCCTCGCTGTGTTTAGAGTTTAGTCTGCTTTCCTGCTGGGTGTAGTGTGTGCGCGTGTGCGCGCGCGCGCACTGCCGGCTCTGAGGAGAAAGTTCAGCAGCACTAGCGGCTACTGCTCCACACGCATCCCTCTGCTCTCAGACACAGCTCTGGGGTCCTGCAGGAAACTCCCCCCCCCGTTCCAGCGCTCGTTTATACCGTTTCAGAACGCAGTTCCTTCTCACTTCAGAGCATCAGCCGCTCCGCACAAACCCAGAAGCTTCCCGAAGCTGCCCATTCTCACACATACTTCACTCCCTTTCACGCGCCAAAACATGAAACGTTTCAGGAAAAGCAAAGTGAGCCGGGTTAATGTAGTAATAGTTTCTTTGCCGCAGTAAAGCTAAGTCAGATTTGGTTTTTGCTCCTGTCGGGAGCTCAGCGGAGTGTGCTGTGCTCTGTTTTGACTGACACCCTCTCTCTCTGCTCAAAGTGGCTTTTAGTGGCTCAGTGATGTCACGAGTGAATACATCAACGAGCAATGGAGGGGGGGAAAACTATTCATGCTGTCAAATGAGGAGCATTAATGGTGTACGTGTTTGAGAGGGGTTGACACCGTACAGGTACTTCCAAAACAAGAGAGCATGTTTGTCCTCTTTCCTCTTATATTCCTCCATCAAAAGTCAATGAGATTGAGTAATAAAAAAATGTGTTAAATTAGAAACATTGACAAGAATTTGCCATTTTAAACTGCATTAACTTTAACCAGGAATGGTCATTTTTTGCTAAATAACTCAACTGGTAGTGTTCAACTGTGATAAGCCAAATTTGGACACAGAGCGCCAACCAGTGGAGGGAATTGAGTATTGCATGCTGAATAAATAGTAATGTAAAGTGTGGCTTATTAAACTGCTGAATAATCTGACACCATTTTTTAAAGTAAAGTTTATTGTATCCACATCTAAAACAAATATAGATTTTTTTAATCACTATCTGCACCCACATTCATCCACCACCATGTCCTCATAATGCCTGAGAACCACATTGTCATTATTGTCATAGTACAGCATAGAAATGGGAGACAGTTTGACTGGGACACAGCAGGGCTGAGGGGTCCCTTTGGGATCAAAGGAGTGCACCAGGGTCTGCAGAATGGCATGGTTGGTCCCGTTCAGGCTCTCGCTTAGAGGGAAAGGGCACTCTCCATGGCAGTAGTTGGCCACATAGCCCTGGGGCGCGATGATCCAGTCCTGCCAGCCGACATCTCTGAAGTCAATGTAGAGACGCCTCGGCTTGCACACGTTGCTGGGGCTCACTGGAACATAGTAGGCGCTTCGCTTCTTTCTGGATGTACACTGGTAAGGGTTCAAAGACACGACCACCAGCGAGGTGACTAGTTCAGGGATGTCTGCGAGACCAGGGTCATAGTCCAGCGGGTCTAGCTTGTTGCTTATCTGTGGGGACTGGAGTACAAGGACCAGCCCGTAGTTCTTGCCAGGCTTCCTCCACCACTCAGCGAGGTCAGTCAGGTTGAAGTGGACAGTGGTGCTGTGGGTGTACTGAACGGACTGGGAGAGCAGCAATCTGCGACTGGATTCATGGTTCATGCCTTTTAACTGGGTCCTCAAGACCTTGTAGAGGTGCATGCTGAAGGTGTGCTGACCAACATGGTGGGACAAGCGGGAAAGGTCTGGTTTGAACTTCAACTCCAGTTGGGCAAATGTAAGCTGCTCAACGTCCTCCAGCACAGACATGTTAAAAAACAGATGTTTCTCCACACCATGGCTGCTGGAGTCAGAAATGAGTCTACCTGTTGAGAAAGATCATAAAGATTGTGTTTAAGAGACAGCTCTGAACCCATCCTCATGCAGAAAATAGATGTAAAGTGTATTTAATGAAATACATTTGAAAATGGCCTAAATGTGTGTGTTTTAAAGTACTGCAAAATGTTTAAAAATGAAATAATGTATTTTAAATGTGTCTCACATCTTACATATCGGGTCCCACAACTTAGTATAGTGTGGTAAGGAAAAGTCAAATTGGTCTGATTGGTTTGAAGTGAAACTCTTCAATAATCGTTCAGTTCCAAAATATACATTGTTGGCAGTGGGCTTTACACAAACAAGAAATCAGGGTATAGCATTTTTATCAGTACCACCTTTACTTAGAGAAAAAATAATTTCCATTACACGTCAGCTGTTATTGTCTTCAAAAGCTATACGGTGTGCATGTGTGTGTGTGTATATATTCTTACAAATGGATATACAGCAACTATAGGAACTAAAGTGTTCAAAGGATACCCTGCATGAACATCAAACACTGTTTCAAAGTTCAGTACTTTCATTTTTATTACAAATTCGTAGTCCTAGGACCAAACGTAATAACTTAATGTAATGCTAGTTTAAGTTACTTTGTACACTCTAAGATAGAAAGTAGATAGACAGATAGACAGATAGAGAGAGAGAGAGAGAGAGAGAGAGTCATTGTTTTAAAAACAACAAAAAACCATTTAGCAGCTCTGGAATTGACAGCAAGGACATAAACAAAAAGAAAAGCAGACATAAGGTTTCAAAACCTGTAGCATTAAGCTGGCATAATCTCCACTTAGCTATGATGCTAACTTTATTTTTAAGCCACGTTTCTTCAGATTTTTGCTTAGCAAAGTTAACAACGTGGCCAAAAGAAATTACGTATTTCAACTATGAACATAAAGAGGTTAATGCGACGGAGAGAAGCTCCTGAGGCCTAAGCCAGAACAATGACCTGTTGAAACTCACCTTGGTCCAGGACATATCTCACGATGTTCCCCCTCACTCCGTACTCCGGCACCGTGCACGGATCCGGATCAGTCTCCGCTCGTGTTTGATCAGTCTTTTTAAAGATCCTCCACAACAGTGAGGGCACAGAACCACGTCTTGACGGCCTAGGTCGACTCGAAAGCCCCAGTGAACTTAAAAACAGTCGCTCCTGAACTTGCACGTCCTCAGTGCAGACAAGCCCAAAGGTACAAACAGACGACAGAAATAAAAACCTAAAAATCGCCATAATGGCGGACGCTAACGAGTCTGAACGTTCGTTTCTCAGTAGACTGTTTAAAAAGTGCCCCTGCGTGAGAAGCGACATTTGATTGGTCGAGAGCAAGAAGGCGAACAAATAGATGAGTGCGAAATCGAATTGATATGCAAAGTAGGTGTCTTTGAAGTTCGCGTAGGGTTTCGATACGTGTGAACAGAGATAAAAAATTCTAATTACTCTTTCGCCTCAAGTTTGCTATACAGGGAATATACACAGGCCTGCACGTCCATTAGCTTCTCAGTTTAAACTCTGTTCCACTGAGGCAAATAAGAGAGATAGCATCATGGCTAAGTGCAGTTTATGCTAGCTTAAGGCTACAGTTTTTGAAACCTTATGTCTGGTGCTATGATGCATTTGGTATTGAGAAGAAAACTGCTGTTTACCACAAACCTCTTATCCTTTTCCTCGTGTCTACATAAAGCATCCTTCTGGGGCATAGAGAAACAAAGTTTTTCATCAAACACATTCCAAGAGCCAATGCTAAAAGCACTGACAAGACACAACAGATTGATCCATTAGTGTGCTCCTGATAACAGTTTCTTGGCTGAACTCTGTGCCTACATTCCACTTCTTGAACAGCACTGAGTGAAAAATAGAGACCAGTGAGTTGTGAACAGGCCCTGAAAAGTGGCCAAAGCTTAAAAGTTTGGGTTCAGTTGTTTGACTTGATATTTAGAAACCATGTAATGTGAATGAAAAGATTCGTGCATGTGAAAGTTTTGGGTGCCCCTAGCCTCTAATATGCATTAACATGCAATTTCCACCTGACCTTTTCACACATCCGTACTATCCTTATCAGTTTACAAACCTGAAAAGTTACCAAAAGGATGTCCAAAGCTGTTGCAATATGACAAAGAAGTGACTTGCAAGATGCTAATATACTGCTGTTGTGTGTGGTTTTGCACTGATATCATTATGACAAGGAGCACAATAGTCTCTGCAGACAAGACAGGAGTGAAATATGGACAATTTTAAACAAGATACCATACTCATCTCATTATTTGTCACAATCACACTTTGTGCTCCAAGTTTACTCATCAGCTCATATTAGATAGAGTTTCAAACACAGAGGCCACAAAAAACAAGTTGTGGTCCACGTCCAGGGACACAATGAATAATGCTTGTAAAAAATGAGTGGGCCTTAGTCATGGCCGAGTCACAGTCATGATGTTTTCCAAGCCTCGTGTTTCACTTCATAGGATAATTTATTCAGTGCTATGGTGGATTTGTCTATATCATGCTACAAAAAGCCCCCTCTTTTTAATGTTTACGTAATGACTGTGTTCTGAAAACACTGTGAAATTATCCTGGAGCACAGTGCAGTGTTAGACACTACTGAACTACGGAAACCTTTGTCATTTATACATTCAGACTATCATGTCAGGTCATTTGTGTGATCTAGTGTGATACTGAAGAACTGTCACCCTACATATTTTATATGTATGGATGTATACATTATACTCTTAAATATAAAGGTTTCTAAATAGTTCTTGTACTGTAAAAAGGGTTTGTCACTTCTACCTAAATAAATATAAAGTTTATGTGGAAACAAACTGGTTTTATTCAACTCGAATCTTTTGGAATGCAAAGAAAAAAGAAAAAAATTACTTTGTGGCTTATATGTACAGTTCAAGGAAAAACTTGTAAGTGGTATAGAATAGATTTCTCCCTGGTCATGAAATTTTAGCTGATTAATTGCCATATATCCGATTAGCAATTTGTTTTTGTTCATTGATTGCAACCACTGAAGTACAAGCCTAAAGTAGCAAAATACTTCAGTCTTTCTTCACTACCGATATTTAGTATCAACCAACTCAAGTAAAACTCAAGTAAACAAATGTTACTCACTGCTGTCCTCTAGTAGTGATGGACATTCCTGTTCTTTCCAGCAAGTTAGATCAATTGGCTCAGCTCATCAATAAGAGTCAGTGCTTTCAGCTTCCAAATGGCTCTTCATTTAGTAGCACTGATATTTTTTTTGTTTCCAAAGATAGTCAAATTAGCAATATTATTTATAATTTTCAATAAAACCTTTGAATACTGAATACTTTTGCTTTTGCTATACTTTTATATTATACTAGTGATTTTGCTATGTGGGTAATTAACTAAAAATAATAAACTGCATTGTATTTGTTATTTTAAAAGTTAAATAAGTCTTGATAAGTATTGATAAGTAGTTTTACTCGATCACAACATAGGCAGTCGGTCTGTTCTAACAATTTGCCCTACCCATCAAGCAGCCCTATTGTGCACGCGTATGTCAAGTTACAAGTATAACTGGTTTTGCTAACATTTTATTGTGTTTTTATGTTAATTCAGCTCTACCTTAAGTGTATTATGTATATTCAGCCTAATGTTATTACTTATCCAGTTGAGGTAATTTAGACTCTACCTATAGTTTTAATGCTGGTAATATTTTCATCATGATGGTAAGATCATTTTGGGTATCAAAATATTCTATAGTTTTATGCAGGGAGCTACCTACAAATAGGCACTATGTTAGGACATTTCAACAAAGTAGCACAATTTATCAGAACAGAAAGAGGTCCATGAGGGGGTGCCCTGTGATTTTTAGCTATATTTTGATGAGATCTACCCATTTTGTCTTCATTTACTAATAAAAAAATGGCTCTTCATTGTTTGCTTAAAGAGCAAACTCATTTCTAGACTTTAAATCACTGGTCTAAAGATATTATAGCACCATCAGGCCTCGGCTACTGACTTAGAAGGCATTAGGGAAATGGCGTATATTTGATTCCTTAAGATATTTGGCAAATTGGTCATGGTCATGTACTAGTAGCATATGCTGGAAAAGAATCTTCTAATTGGTGACAGATTCACTGTCAATTCAAAACTATATGAGATAAGTATTGTGGATTCTGGTTGAATGCATGCACTCCACCTGCGTCCATACAATGACTAAATATCATTTAATTAAATTTTACCTTTAGAAATAAGTGCATGTATTTTTTAATATTTTGAATGCATCCATATGTAAGCTATAATACAAGTTCTAGCTGCACAGTCAAAATACACTACAAAACTTTTAGCTGGGTGCAAAAATCAAGCTCAAATGAAGCTTGATATCACGTGATAATGGAATACGCATCCTGTGCTCTCAGCGTCTGTCGCCCTCGCCAGTACTTCACTCAATTACAGAGTGGAGGCATGCTAGACATTACATCAATGGCACAAACAATCATCTAGTGTCTGCTCCCTCAAAGCAGGGTCAGCCGTGGAGGTGGATTAGGAAGATAGCAATCTTGATCACCACTGAGACACACCGGCAGAGCAGAATAATGTGGAATTCAGCTTAACCAGATTTAGCATTGCTGTGAAACATAACGGTATGAATGTGGCAGTGCTGTTATAAACAGCTCTTTACAGACGACTCCTAAAGCTTTCTAGGTGTCCAACACTGGGACAAGAGTTCACTAACATGGTCTACTCAGTGATGGACATCGAGCATCATCTTATAACAAAGAGAGTGAGGAGTGCAAAAGGAGTGAGGAGTGCAAAAGGAGTAATTGAAACTCTCATTCGGAGAGCCCCTAAGATGCCATTCATGGGTTCAGGGGTCGTATTTCTGTGCCAGCAATGACATGATAAGTGTTTAAAGGGGATTTTTCAACAGGATTCATGAATATCCAGATAGACAGATAATTTATATGTTAATATTGTTACATTATGTAAAGTCCTTTGTCACCTGATATGTTGACTCAGTGACTATGTAACATGGACAGACACCCTCAAGGGTACATCTCAGTACCTTTAGTCAGGGAACATAATTGTACCATAATCCATTTTCTTACATTTTCTAAGTTGTATTGACTCCACACACCCCGCCCCGTCTTCAGGCCTGTTATTTTATTGGTCTGTTTTAAAACATTAGGTTATGAAAAGGTACAAATATGTACTTTTCCACTAGAAAAACTTATTTAAGGTATACAACTGGACCTTCAAACCACTATTGTACTTTTGAGGGTGCATTTACATTGTTTGTACCTTATAAAATGAAAAATGTACCTGCATAGAACCTTTTTTTCTAACAGTGTACAGTCATTCAGTACCTCAGCTCAGGAAAAAATGTTTCCTAATGTTATATTAGGTAGCACTATATCCTTTCTGTTGTTGGTCTATGCATGGAATATATGGCTGTGTTTTTCCTAATAGGGCTATCTTTGCCTCAGATTTTTAAATGTTTCCTGCTATGCTCTGTTTGCCCATGGAAAACTCCGAAATCCACATTGTTTATGAAAGGAAACAATTATCACTTAGATCTACATGCTGTCCAACAATCTACTGAAAGTCAGCAGTATCTGAAGCCAAAAGACTTAATGAAACATGTCTTTGAGCTTTTTGTAGTCCTGGAGCGCTGTACTTCGTTAACAATGTTACGGCTGAACCTCATCAATCATACTTTATGACTGGAACATGGCTTTTCATTAGAATTCATTATTCATTATTCTGTTTTCAGAAGCTTGGGAACCTCAGAAAGACATGTTTAACAAATGGCACGCTCCAATGAATAAAGTCTTTGGTCTTATATACACTAGGACCTGCTCTTCTAAAGAGAATGGCCTTACACTAACAGGTGTGATACCAAAAGGACTTGGATAATTTTATAAGATAAATATTTGAATATCTATTAAATATATGAATGCACACATTTAAGTCAGTTTAGGAAATCGATGCAAGGAAAGCTAAACCATGATAGCTCTTATCCTCTTCTTAGTCTTTGTTTCAGTCTGAAATGGTGCCCCTTGTGTTTAGGTCACCAGAGACTGATGCAAGATGCAAAGGAAAGCAAGAGTGAGAAAAACAATATGAACTTGAAACCTGCTGCCTTTTCAAACTTAAGCAACCCTGTTCTTCAGGACTGGGGAATAACTCTTCTGCCTGTAGCTCTGTAGTAAGAGAGGAATGGCATGCCCAAAGCTGAAAGAGAAGGCTGGACAAGCAATCTATATTT